CCATTGGTGCCCCGGCGTCCAGCGGAGTCCCGGAGTCCATTGGAGGCGCGGAGACCATCCGACCCCAGGAGTCCATAGGAGGCCAGGAGTCCATAGGAGTCCAGGAGTCCATAGGAGTCCAGGAGTCCATGGGAGTCCAGGAGTCCATGGGAGTCCAGGAGTCCATAGGAGTCCATGGGAGTCCAGGAGCCCGCTTTTTCCCCCTTGGGTAACCTGCAGGTGGCGTATCTGACAAGTCTTGAATTCCAGCCATTAGCCGTGTACGTAACCCATTTCTGGCAATAAAATCTTTTCGACTTACGCGCTCTGTATACTTGAATGATCGACAATGCAGTAATGTTGTTGGTGCACACATTAATTTGTCCTTGATCCATGAAAAATGGCTTCGCATGTTGATTTCGATAGCGCCATTCAGCTGATCACTAAATCCAAGATTTTTGTTTTGGGAACCCCGCTTCAAAAAAATGGAATCTTCTAAGGCTTTGGATGTCCTTGAAATCAATGATTTTGGTATGATAATAGTATGTTATACTTCGTAATACTGATTCAGTATATCACCAAACCAAAAACAAAATAAAGTTGGTTTTGAGTTGCTGAGAAATGCTTTTTCGTATTCAGCATAATCCCGATAATCCCGAAGATTTTCTATTTTTGGCGAGGGGTATAAGCGTCAGAAGCCCAAGTTAACAACTCACAAAACAATCCCAGTTCAAAATCCCTGCGCCAGCTACTGTTTTATTAACCACAATTGTAAACAAAGCTAATTTTAAATCAGTAGTAAAATACGTTCTTCACTTAATAACGAACAGTGACAAATGTATGACGTTTAAATAATTCGCTTCTTTTTCTCCTTCCAATGTAATAATGTATTTAACGATAGCGATACCAGTGAATTGTAATGTACGGTTGGTGAAGTGAACGAGAAGAAGAAGAACAGAGAGCGAAAGCGAAAATGTATTGTAATTAAAGGAAATACGAAATTATATTTCAATGTTGAAATATTTTAATTTGAAATGAAATATATCAGAGTTGAGCTCCTGTCTTCTTCTCCTTCTCCAAATGTGCGAGAAGAAGAAGACAAAAATTTTGAGTTTCCTCCAGAAGAATAAGAGAAAAAACTGATTTGAACATGACATCTCGACACGAAGAGAATGTGTCTTCATTTTTCGTATTCCTGAGAAACAACTAAGAATTTTGAAAATGGTTCGAACTTGAGAACGAAAAACGGAACCTCAGAATCTTCTGGATTAGAAGAAATAAAAGATAACAGGCAAGCGGTCGTTACAATTACCGTCGTTTCCAAGCGAGATTCGTCCTCGAATCTCAGAAGTTACCAAGGCTGTCTTCTTCAAAACAATCGAGGCAGGTAGAACTCCAACCTCCGCACTAAAACAGTTTGAATATGTCGCATTTCGTAGAAAGACCAAAACGAAACAAAATGCGGTAAGATATCTGAAAAAACTTCAGAAAAAGTGTGTTTTCACTCTCTGTTAGGAATAACGTTATCCAACTGACGTGAAAAAGAAGGAGATCATCCAGACTTAGTCTTTTGGAAAAGACATATGCTAGTCATCTTCTGTAACTTATGGATTCTTCACCCTCTAGAAGACACAATAATCTAGCTGTTGGAGATAAGGATTTCAATTTAACAAATGAATTAGGGAAAATAAAAGAGATTTAGTCAAATGACGCTTGCTAAGACAGAAAGCTGCTAGCGTACATTAGAAACACAACTAACTTTGATTAGAATTAAATATTGAAAAGTTGTCAAGGTTGTTGTAGTTTTTAAATTGTTCCCATGTTCCTATTATTCAATGCACATAAAACTATTGGCATGGTCAAAAAGAAACCATGGACTGATTTTAAAAGTCATAATTTCAATAGTATTTGGTGTTTTAAAGGAACGATGGTCTCGACAACATTTTGTGTCTAAACTACATTCGAAAGACAATATTTCTATTTTCTGCTATCTATTCTGTAATTAATTCTATTTTATACGGGAGTGTTGAAAAATATCAATCATCCCGTATAAAAGTAGTAAGAAGAAAAAGAAATATTTACGATGTATTTAATATCTACAAAGTTATAACAGAAAATAGCTGATATTCATTAAACGCAACTAAACGTATTGTTTCTCGTCTCATTTTACAATGACGAAGTAGTAGTAGTAGTAGTAGTAGTAGTAGTAGTAGTAGTAGTAGTAGTAGTAGTAGTATTACCCAAAATACCAAAAGGTGTAGGGTGAAACAAAGAGTGTACAAACACAAAATAAAATAGAAAAAGTGTCTTCTTCGGTAGATAGTTTGTTCGATCCATCTTTGCTATGCCACTTGAATTTGTCAGTGTCTAACCCTCCAGTAACTGGTTTAAGTTAACCACATCATTGATTTCCATCTAGCATGCCAAGGGATGTGTTTTCATTACTTATTTCCCATTTCGATATTATTTTTCTTGCACCAATCTCGAGCACAAGATCTCACATGTCCTGTTATTCCTTGTGGTTTAAATTTGTTCATACAGTTTGGACAAGCGTAACAATTGTTGTCATCCTTTACTAAGACCTCAACAACTTTTCGTGGCGCTTTTCCTTGGTCAATTTTCTTCTCCACAAGCCGTCTCTGGTCAGCTCTCCCTTTATACTCTCGCATTATTTGCTCAATGTTTGTGTTGGCCGTGGTGATTTTCACTTTGGTGTTAATTGTCTCCCTCCAACGATCTCTGTCTTTCACTTCTCTTTTCCAGTTTCTCACATTGCATTTCGCCAGATCGTCGGTGACTTTGTCGTCCCAGCATTTCCTAGCACCAACATTGCCGGGTCTTTCCCGTTAGGAAAATACGAAAACATAACTTTCTTCACTAAAGCTGCTTCGCCTAGATCGTTTGCCATTCTATTTACATGTTCAAACCATCTGAGGCGGTTTCGTCTCATAATCTCTTCGATGGCTGGCTGTCCTGTAAGATGTAAGATCGTTTGATTTGGTACCCCGTTGCCTAAGTTCAGTCTCACTAAAGTCCATAGACATTTCATGTAAAAAGTGTCGATACGTTTCCCTTGCGCCGAAGTGGTGAATTTCCTTCTGCTTGTTTATTTTGCCATCTGAATCGACTTCAAATTTGTCGAGGGACATGATGAGAGTCTTTTTCACACTCATTGTAAGTCCATATTTTTGTGTGATTTTCTCAAAGGCCAGAACAAATTTTTCCAAATCTTCCAGAGAGTTGCAAAGTGCCACCAGGTCATCAGCATACATCAGTGACAGAATGCCAAATACTTCGTACCTTTCCCTTTTTCCATAGTAAAAGTCAGAACTTCTTAGGCCAGTTTAATCCCTTCTACGCCTGCTTCTTCCAAAACTTTTCGAATGATGAAATCAAAGAAGATGTTGAAAAGAAGTGGTGACGGTATTCCACTTTGCATCATACCAGTTTCTATGTCGAAACTGTCCGAAAAGTTCTCCGTTGATTCTTACTTTCGCTTTACTGTCTTTGTGCATTAGTTTGAGGAGATTTACGATTTTCTCTGTCAGACCATAATGTCTACAGATTTTCCAGAGTAAATCTCGATACAATGACGAATCTTGTCTCGATGTCGATAAATGTCTTCTTCTGCTCCTTACTTGTTCATGTATTGGTGCTCATCGTTAATGGGCAACAAAAGCAAACACAAGGGAACTCAGGCACAAGTTAATCGTGACTATGATGATCTACAGCGTCAACTCGATCGTTTCATAGCTGCGCAGTCACCACAGATGCTTCAAGTATCAGCGCTCGTATGAAAAGTGGCTGATGAATGTTGCCACAACAAGCGTCATTTAATGATTGACAATCTGTTTCAATTTGTCCAATTATGTTTCGTACAAGAACAAACATTACTTAACTGTACGTCAGGTGAAAAATTGCTTAATTTATTTGATCAAGAAGATAATTTGGGATTGTCGAGGTCAATAAATAAATCTCAAACACCGGAAGAGATAATGCAAAGTTTTACAAATCCGTCAAATCATATTGTCAAACGATATTGTACAACAGATGAAATAATAAACGAGGAATGTAATGAATATGTTAATAGAATAACAGCAAATAAAACGAAACAAAAAAGTTCAAAATGTCGCTATAAAGCTCTCAGTGGTTTAGCTAAACAACCTAAATCATATAATAAATTTATTAGTATGCAGAAGAAGTATATGAAACGTGTGATGAGTATATTTGGTACAACAACAGTTTAGTCCGTGTAATACAATTACGGTTATCAAAATCGGTAGAATTCTGTTTACATTTCTTGCCTTCCCATCATTATCTTTGCTTTTTTAATTATAATAAAGAGTTTATTACATATGGTACATGAAGTATTACGGAATTTTTTTTGCAGTTATAATGCCTATTTTCTAAGCGCGTTCAACTACTTTTTTATTAAAGCAAATTATTTTCGTAATTTGAGACGTTGAAGCCAGAGATGCGCAAATTTCAGTCATGACCAAGACTAAGACCCGACTAAGACTGATGATTTTCGGCTCCATGATCGATTTTTTTTCAAAAGGCGAGTGAGAGAGAAACACAATAGAAAAGCAGAGAGAATGATAGAAGAAGATGAGATTACTTCTCTCTTCTTTGTTTCTCTACTACTGATATCCAGATATATCTACACAGATACCAGAGGAGTATGTCAGCGTCCGGGGAGGACGAAAAACATTTTTCACTACTCGAGCAAAGCAAACAAGGCTATATTTTCCATCTGCGCTTCGCTCATTTCACCCCGTAGATTTGATGTGCTAACGTCTAGAAAGTATTTAGTTTGTTTGGAAAACCCAAAATTTGAAAAAAGTTGTCAGATATTGATTTATCGTGGTAAAAAACCGTTCTGGGGTTTTTCAAACTATTTTCTTCATTCCTAATCCAAATTCGAACGAAATTTTCTTTGAACACGTTCATCTCACCACATAGTGTCCACACTCTCACTAATCATAGTTTAATTTCCACTAAAAGAGCTTTTGAAATTTGTTTGGCTGTGACAGATCGTGGCCGATAGTTTGGTCACTGCAAAAGTTGTGACTTGCCCATCTCTGATGAAGCAGTGGCATCCGACAGTGATCGAAGCGTTTTTGTTATTGAAAGTGCAGAGGATGAAATTGTATTAAGCAAAGTGATCATGAACTGCAATAGAAAGTACTGTCAGACTTGGAGAAAAGAATAAACTCAAAATCTGTTTTCTCCTTATTATTAAAGTATCGCTTTCTAATTTGAATTTGTAGTTTATTCTTTTCTCCAAGTCTGACAGTACTTTCTGTTGCAGTTCACGATCACTTTGCTGAATACAATTTCATCCTCTGCACTTTCAATAACAAAAACTCTGCACTTTCATTTAAAAAAAAAAAAGTCAGAGATGTAACCGTTCCATAATTCTTAGAACGGGAACAGTGTTGTTCTGGAAATTTTCAACACCTATATATATGAGTGATTCTGATAAAAACAGTACCGTTTTTGTGAAAAAATTTGACCCAAAGAAAAGGTAAACACCTACGTTTTTTCTTATCATATGTCGATAGTGTGTACCTAGGAGTATGTATCACAAAACACGGGTTAGCAAACTACCACTACGTTTTTTTCCAGAAGTGGAAAACATTTTCCTCTTATCGGCGGCAAAACACCGTGCACTTGGTTGCTTTTTGAATACCTTTTGACAGAAAAGGTTAGAGAGCTCCGATTTTCGCCATTCAACAGAGGAGACTTGAAGGCATGTTTCCATAACCTAAATTGTTTTCAGAACAGCTTCAAAAACCTAGTGAAAGCGTACATTAGGTGAAATAGCTCATTTTTGCCTATTTTTGAGTAAAAATCAAAAATTCATAACTCAGTCAAGATCAATCTAAGTTATGTCAGAATATGAAGATGTATTCTCTTTCACCTGCTCAATACTATGCAGTTTAACAGAAGCTTTAGAAGTCGACAGAAAATACTCTGGTTTTTGAAAGGGTTTTCTAGAAACCTTCCGAAGTACAAGAATGTTTTTTACCATTCTCAAGTAAAACGTCATTTGGAACAGCTAAATTGAGTACATCTTGATATTCTGACATAACTTGGATTGATCTTGACTGAGTTATGAATTTTTGATTTTTACTCAAAAATAGACAAAAATGGGCCATTTCACCTAATGTACGCTTTCACAAGGTTTTTGGAACTGTTTTGAAAAACAAACGTTGCCACGAGATTCAGCATAGTCGATAACTTATGTTTTGATTCATTTCTGACAGTCCCAAACCTAACGGCAGAGGAGTCCTAAGGCTTCAAGGAAAACGCCTGTAGCGCCCAAACCATGGATTTTCGATATGTCGCTTGGATCTGATCTTGTAGAAAACACTTTGGACTATCTAGATGTGGCAAAAAGACTGATAGATTTCCGTGTAAAATTTTGAAGCTATAAACTGGTTTTTCAGGGATCCACTTAGAAATCCCTCAGAGATCAACGCAAAAATTTGATTTCTGCACATCATTACGTGTCCCGGCCTTGGATGCACTAGGGCAAAACTCCGATCTCGATAGCTCATTCCGTTCTCGAGTTATTCATGGCGCAATCCCCACACTATATTTTGAAATGGGTAGTAGTATTTGAAGTTCTTGCGCTATGATCTAACTTTTCAAAGATCTCTTAAAGAGCCTAGTTTCGAAAAAGATTTTTGAACTTTTTCTGTTTAGAAAAGATGCACTCAGATATTCTCTTTCCAATGGTGAAGACCTGAACTCTCTAGCTCTTTTTGTTCTCGACTTATTCAATAAATAATCGACCGCACTGGGTTTTTTTGATAACAGTGAAAAGGAAGAAACAGGTATGTAGAGAATTCCGTTCTCTAGGAAAACATTTTTTGGTCGGTCTAAATGCTATTTATGTGCTTCATTAAATTCAACATGTTTCGAAACCTCTACACTGTAATCTTGAATTAATTTCTAGTTTATAGAAAATCAACCGAAAAATCGCCGGGGATTTTCTAGTTTATAGAAATTCCTCGACGAATTTCCAGCTTTCTGGGAAATGTTGATTTTCTACTTTATAGAAAATCGACTTGATTTTCCATAAATTCGATTTTCTATAAACTAGAAAATCCCCGGCGATTTTCCAGAAAATCAATCGAATTTCTATAAATAATTTCCAAGAATCTGGAAATTCAAGGGCGATTTTCTAACAAACTGGAAATTCAATGAGGAATTTCCAGATTCTTGAAAATTATTTATGGAAATTCAACGGCGATTTTCTAGATTGTTGGAAATTCGATTTTCTATAAACTGGAAAATCCCCACGGAATTCCCATATGTACTCTTTGAAATTCGCCGAGCATTTTCCATAAATAATTTCCAACCTTACAGTGTACACTAGAAATTTGGCTTTATTCGCGCGTGTTATGTTAAAGTTACAAAAGAAACAGAAAAAAACCGGTTACGGGACATTTCTTCGTATTTTCTAGTTTTGTCCTTTATAAAGCAATCTTAGTCTTTGCTATTTATACAGGATCATCGTGTGAGTAGACAACACTTATGGTAGAAAAAGAAACTTTCTATCCAGTTCGGTTGGGGCGTGGTATAGTAGGTGGTTGCGGGACAAACTGTCAGTCAAATCTCACATAACTTCAGTAAAGTGGGAATTACTTAGTAGTAAAAAGTGATAGAAACATCGGGTTTCCGCTGTTGTCTATTCTATATATTTGGTCAACTTTTGGCATGTAAAGAATGCAAACTGAATAACTTACTAGAGCTATCCAAGACCATGTGGTTACGGGACAGAAAAAAAGATTTTTTCGGCACCACAAATTCTGAACAAGTTTGTGAAGAAACAGAACAATCGGTAACAATGTAACTGAGTAGAGCGAAGGAAATCCTATAAGAAAGAGAGAAAAAAATATATTGCTCCACATAGAATAACACAGAAAATAACATTTACAAAACCAAACACATTGAACCTTCAGAAAGACAACATCAAAATAACGGTGAAATATGAATGTTCTGTTTATAATTCGTTCACGGTTAAACATAGAAAAGTCGTACTTGCAGCGATTATAAGCCTAACGTTGTTGAATATATACGAGAAGTCCGAAAGCGATTCATCAAGGATAAGAAAAGAAACGCTTGGGACCATTTACTTCATTCGAACGGTACTATTTTTATCAGAATCACTCATATACACATATTTCTCAGACGCCTCCGTTGAAAAAACAAAAAACTTAAATATTACGTTTTCCTGTTACATGTATTGTCTCAAAGTTGAAAGTTTAATAGAGCGAAATATATCGGTACCACTTAACTTAGAAGAAGAAGAAGCATAACATTTGTAACATGATCTGTCTATTATTCTACACTAAGGCTCATAATAGTTTTAGACGTATCTCACTATAATTTACACAAAAGTGAGTTCCTTCTTCTTAATCAAACTCTTAAATAGAGCATAGAACTTTCAGTGTATTGTGCAACTTTCCTTATGGCAGCTGTTAATCATTCTTTGTCTTTTTATTTGTTTTTTGTTTTAATATATAATAGTACATCAACTATTACACATACTGTACACATGAGTAGAACAGAACAGTAAGAGAGCATTTCCCTTTTCACTTTTTTTCACTTTTTAGTGAATCAGCATTTAATGTACGGAAGGCCCTACGCTTGTTTTCCCGTTAGTTTTCCTGATATGGGACGGTCGGTACATTGCATGCTGATTCACTAAAAAGTGCCGCAAAGGGCTCGGAGACGTCTCATTTTCTTCAAAAATGTTTCCTCTACAGAATGGACTTTTTGCAACGAATTGTTAGACTGAACTCTGGAAGTTCTTTTTCTGAGATTTTAGTTTTCCAGGGACCCTGGTTTAAAGAGCTATGATAGAACCCTTTTAAACAGCACAGCAAATTCCAAATTCTATCAGCTGTTCAAATTTTTTTTCAAATTTGTTCCAGCTTGTACGGTCCACGAGAAAAATCAAAAATAAAGGTGGCGAGCAATTTTTGGAGCCATTCTCCGTTAAAGCGGCATAGTATTTAAAATCCCAAACACGACTGTCAGGCTTCGTTACGTTTCCAATTAACATATCTTGCAGAACTTTTCAAGGCGCATGGAATGATGTATGAATATTCAGAGAATCGTTAGTTTCATAGAGAAAAGTGACCGACAGTTCGAGTAGCATTGCGGCGACCTATGAAAAAATCTAGTATTTGATTCATAACGGCCGGTGCCAAGCTTCGTTAAGTTTCTTATTAAGTTAGTTATACGAAGTCATGACGTCATGATGATGCGGCCCTCAACTCTCACCTAAGCACATCACCATCTCTTGTGACAATTGTGGTTTATCTGAACACGAAAAGTTTTTCAAAAATTACAGGACAAATCATAAGTTTTTTTCAAGGGATAGATGGGCTTAGGGCAACATTTTTTGATCATGAAAAAGAAACCTTATTGAGTCCTCTACCAAACGACCTTATTTGGAATAGAGCACAGGTGCTCTGTGAGATATTAGGACAAAGACTTGTTTTCGCGTTGTAAACGCCAAATTGAGTTTTTAATCAAACGGTCTTCTATTCAATCTCTTGTGCTCAAGGCCAACTTTTTTAATATCGTACGAAAGCCTTTGTTGTAATGCATATATTTTACCACTAGTTTGTATGTAGCATTATCGGCGCACGTTTTTGAGAGTCGAAATAGTTGATCAACAACAATATCATAACATAATATTTTTACCATTTGTCTTTTTATTGCCACAAATGTGTTAGATGCTTCAATTCTACTAGTTGGTATATTTATCATTTGTTTCTATTCATCACTTTGTATCAAAATATTCAGAAAATTAGATGGTAGAATTTGATCCGACCATTTACTTTGTGTCGATGGGTGTTAAAAAGAGAGCGAAGCCCAAATATTGTTGTGATTGAGAATTCGCGACAGGAATCCTTTTTTTCTTCACTTTCATCTTCGATCGGTGAATCATTATTTCGGCATGGATACATTGCTGTTTCAATGAAGTTGCAAAGAGAACCTAATGACACCGGTACATATTGAACTGAACGACCTTCAACTAATTCGAATGGAAGTACGACATTGTTTCTCATCCATTGAACAATGAATCGAAAATAAATCATCACCAATTAAAATAAGTAGTAATAATAATGCTAATTGTGATCGATAAGAAATTAATGAATAAATAAGCGTTTCTTGAGTAGATTCATTGAATATTAGGTCTTTCGACGATCGACACTTATCGATGTAAATAAGCGTTGTCGAGTAGCTGTGTAACAGATTCCTACGCGGATCTGTCCAGGATCATTCGGAAAAAATGTCCAGTCTTCATTTCACACTGTCAGGATCGAATTCACAGTCTCTTTTAGTTCTGTTTTAAATAGTATTTATTTTTGAAAGGTTGAAAAATGAATGTAACGAGGCATGAAGACTCACTTTAGTACTATGTAAAGTATCAGTCAAAAAAAACGAACAGTTAACAGAAAAGAGAGGAAGACTTTTTTTGACAAATTTCTCTCATTTTTTGGCTACGATGCTATCATAGTCATAAAAAAACGATAAAAATGTCAGGCGCCTTCAAAAATCAGTTGGTATTTTGAATGTAACTAATATCTGTCGTCCAAGTAGGTTGCAATGTCTGGGTAAATTCTTCGAGCACTTTGAAAGGCAACGTCAGTAACATAACACTTCCTGATGCTGAATGACTATCAATAAAATGTATGTTTTAGCTTAACTATGTTTTTTAACCCTTTCGGGACCGGTGACGTTTTAAAACATCATTAAATTTCACGTTATCTAACACAGAAGAATTCGAATTTTTTCTCGTCTCTTCGAAGTAAACGTTTTATTATCGCCCTATACATGGCCCTTAGATTGCTACAAAGAGGAAGATTGACACAGAAATAAATTCAAGTGGATTAAGATCTCATTCATTTTTGAAAAGTTGAGAAATTTGTAATTATCGTTCGAAATAAGTCGGTCCTGAAAGGGTTAAATAAGGTATAAGATGGCAAGTGTGCACCTAGAACACAACATTCGCTTTATTCTAAGGTACACCGAGGAGTGAAAACTTTTTTCGATCGATTCATACATGGTTCGATAGAGCTCATCGAGTTGATCAAGAATATGTGGTTTAACATTTTCTCAGACCATGCTTTGAACAATTAGTTCAAAGTATCCATAAGTCCTAGCCCGTAATCAAAAAATGTTGCCCTAAGCCCGTCTATCCCGTGAAAAAAACTTATGGTTTGTCCTGCAATTTTTGAAAAATTTTTCGTGTTCAGATAAACCACAATTGTCGCAAGAGATGGTGATGTGCTTAGGTGAGAGTTGAGGGTCGCGTCATCATGACGCTCTGTGGTATTTGCCTAAAACAATTTTCGGAAAATTTCAAAAATGTAAAACGACAGTTTTGTTCAGAATTCGATGCTGATTCCGAAAATGTATAATTCATGCCAATTTATTTTAGGACGAAAAGTGACCATTTTGGCACCAGTCCTTTACAAAAATTTCTCTGGCTTTTTAGAGACATTTTCCACTTTCTATCGGTATGCTCGGTTAAAAATGACATGAAATAGTTCGGGTATAAAATTCCGTTAGAAGGGAAATAAGGTGTCTGAATAATCATTTTTGATAGAGTTGACTGTTTTGAAAGTTTTAAAAGAGCATAAAAACTCATTTTAAGCCAAATGAATCATTAAAAAGCTCTACATCTTTTAAACTTAGAATGAACGTCTCAGACCATTGATAAGCATCAAAACACTGAGATACAAAAGTGTTCCATTTAATCGATCTTATCTGTTCTGTACCTATAGATAAAACTTTTATCTTAAGTGAGCTTGTGTCTTATTCTTAATATCTTTCGATTTGTTTTTAGTAGTTTAGTTCAAATATTATTTTTCTGCGTATTAATGGATAAAATACAATTAAGGAAGGCAAGAAATAACAAAAAAGAATGTTTTTAAAAAAAACATGTATATCAATGATGTAGTTAACAGAGAAAAAAACAACCACACAAAGATGCACACGTCAAGTACAATGCACAAAATATTTTATTTACGAACAATAGCAGCATTTCTTATACAATCATTACAACAAAACAAACAACAAACAAAAGAGAAAAATAATCACCAAGTAATAAGGAACAATAAAACGGTCTTACATACAGTTAATAGTTATGTACAAATAAAAAAAGATTATTATCAAAGTTTAATTAGCGAGAAAGAGAGAGATAGAAAGACACACTCTCTCTTATACACACACACGCATACACACATCTGTAGACGAAAAAACAATACTAGTGAGTGAACAAAATAAAAGATCATAATTCGTTCAAAATCGAGATTGTTTTGTTTTTACCGAACAGAAAAAGTTTGAACGTAAACGAGAACAAAAAGAAATCTATCTACAATTTATGACTTGTAAAAAACAACAAAAAACACGTACAATTAAAATTTTCCATTTGTAATCGTTGTTGGTGATGACGAAGAATTTGTATTCTTTTCCGTTGTCCGCTGTTGTTCCGCTTTGCTTATATAAACATTCAGTAATTTTAACTAAAACAAAAGATTAAAAATACGATAAAATCAAGTATTCAGTAAAATAATATCCTTGTATACTTCAAAATAATATTAACCCAGTGAATTATTGCAAAGACAGAAAATAAATATTCCATTGGCACAAAAAAACTTAGAAAGCATTCAAAAAGAGAATTTAGCAAGATATTTATAGTCAAAATTAGGTCTGGAGATCATTGATGTACCTTCCCGAAAAAATGACATATGAGTCATCAGAAATGTGGTAGATAAAATAAAATGATTGCTTTTATCAATCTTTAACATGAAACTTTATCTCTGTTTACTAGAAAGAAAACTGTCTTATCAACTGCTTTATAATCTTGTAGGAAAAAATTTCTCACCGTACTCAATAGAGCTATTAATCCCTAAGTAAGATACAGTTATTTGAGTTTAGTGCAAAGTGAAAATGCTGTGATAAGACTTCCAACGAGAAACTCGACGACAAGCACACAGCCACACACACACTACAGATAGAGACTGTTTTTCCGTTAGTTATTTCTGAGATAAAAAGAAACGAAAACACCAAGCGATTTTTGTCCATAGTAACGAACAGCTAGAGATGTTAGCTGTGCCATAGACAGAAATACTTTTTGGGATAAAAACCATCATTTTCAACAAAAAAAATCAGCTTTTTGGCAAGTTTATGAAAAGTCTCGCATTACTGCCGCTACAGATTCGGTTTTGACTTTTTCAACGCTGCTGATTACTTTTATACCAGCTAACATCTCAACGATCGGCTAAAATGAAAAAACCAAGCAGCAGCACAGTTTTTTTCATAGATAGACAATAATCAAATTCTTTTCGTTGTTATCTCCCATATTGTTTCTTTTTTCGACTTAAAAATGAAAACTCACCAGAACTTCTTTCGCAAATTTCTGCAATTTATAGATAAAGAGAAATGTTTTCTGCTTAAAGATAAACTATTGATGTTACTTACTTTACTTGCACTTAATTTTTGTAAATATGTTCGTAATGATTCACCAACAACCAAGAAAACTGCCACTAAACAAAATACAGCTGCTTTTCGCACACTCGAGGTTTCACTATCCCATGACTAAAGAAAAAATATAAATCTGTATTATTTCTTTGAAAGACATTAGATTGTTTATCCAAGACACTGCAACACATGCTTGACTACCAAAAAGCAAAGCGTCAATTTCAATGAAATGGAAGCATTTTTTTGTAAATCACGAGAAAAAAAGCATCGGCATTGGTTCATGTTTTCATGCGTTCGTATGTAAAGAAAATATGCCCGTCTGAAAAAATCACCCTTCCATTAGTATGCCTAAATATCGAACGGGATTTCAACACACGCGCTCTAGAAAAAAAATTGCTGCACACAACCAAACTTACGGCACCAAGATCACGAGAATGCATATCCCAAACCTACGAGAATATGATATACTCGAATCTAACAATTCACCACATACTCTCACACCATACAAAAACAAAATAAGATGATCAACACTAGAAAACACATGTTGGTCGAACTCTGGTCTACAACATTATAGATTTCTACTTTTTTTTATGACTTTCAGGAATAATATTAAAATAAAACTTCTATAAAGATAGTCAGTAAAACGTATGACATTAGATTTCCCTGAATCTTAATGTTGTTGATTTATAAACTTATTTTCTTTGAACATCTCGAATAGTTGACACCTTTTAACATTTAAACTTACAGCAAGTAATGGTGGAATCATTTCTGGCATTAATCTTGCACAAACATCTTTATTCATTAATTCAATTGTTTTTTGCAACATTGTTATGGCTGCTTGATTCATTGGATATTTAGCTGTTTCAATAATTGGTTTTAATACACGTACACAATCTTCTGAAGGCAAATATTCAGCAGCTGCTAATGCAGCAGCCTCAGCCGCCCGTGTTATCTAAATATGATCAATGTTACTCTATTTTTACTCGATACAAGACAATAGTCAAATGATATATACATCACTTTCGGTTTCACTTTGTGCCTTCAATATTCGAATGATAGTCAACTCAACATAATTCATAAATAAATCAGTATGATGAATCAATAGTTCACGAATTATTCTCAAACTAAATACTTTCCATATTATCTAAAATACTCAAAAGAAAAGATAATGTATAACAAGATCATTAAAAATTCGCACACCTGTTCAACTCACCTCATCGTTATCATCATCTAAAATATGTGTCAAAACATTTAATGTTTTTGTAAATGCAATATCCCATGTTTCAGTATCATTCACTTTGGAAAATTTTAAAATACAACGCATGGCATTATGGCGCTGTTCTTTACTAGAAAAACAAAAAAAACAGAGAAAAAACTATGACTTTGATTAGAATGAGAAAAAAAAATTATTACTTTGATGATGTATTATTGATAATGTCAAGAGATGAATCAATGGCAGCTGTACGATCAGGGGCATTCAATATACTCTAGAAGAAAATATTAAATATTAAATGGAATAAAATTAGTTAACTCATATACGTTTATCACTCTTACATCTGACTGTTCTGTTGTATTATGTGAATTATTTGATCTATATAACTGTGGCGTATATTGTCGACCATTTTTCACAGCCATATCTAATAAAAATACTAGATAAAGTTCGATAATATTTATTATACTCAATCATACCTTGAAATCCACTATCTTTTAATGAGTTTGAACCAGTCAATAACTCGTCATTTCTATGATTAATATTCAATGCTTGCATATTTTCCATAAGAACTCTCATATCAGTTAAATACGTCGTTTGAGATGTTTGTCGATATGATTGTTCATGATTATTATCAGAATTTAATAACGAATTCACTGATGTTGTCATGGAAGATAGACTGCCACTGTTTGAATGTTGAAGAAAACTAAAAGTGAAAGAAAATGTTGATTGAAAGAGTAATCAACATCTGGGATCTATTACTTCATATCTTGATTTGAGGGTGTTGACGAATACTTGTCCGTTACCGATCGAATAATTTTAGAAGCGGCAGCCTACAAGTTACATGTTTAAATTTTAAAAAATTCTATAAATTTATTTATTTTTTTCTATACTTGATAGGTATCTGGTAGACTGGTTAACATAAGTGTAAATTCTGGTCGATTTAAATTGTACAATGCCAAAACAACACCTTGTGCTGCCTAAAAATATTAAACGAACTCAATTGCACACGTAATGATTTCAGAATGATAGTTGTTGAAACTTATGTAACATAAAATAACGGAATTGTCATTATATGACTATTACAGTTTCATTAATGTATCCCAGGAAGAAAACATGTAGTAACTATGAAGTTCTACAGTCAACAATTGACTGGGATGTGCGTATAATATTTTATGGCTATGATCTGGAAACAAACCTTTCTAACTTCATTTGATTTTGGTTCCACTGACCAATTCATTATTTTAGATAGTGCAATTCTAACATCAGCATTATTGGCAATGTCAACAGGTTCCATATGTTGAATAATTTGTTGTAAATGTTTTAATAAAACTTCTTTTGCTTTTATTCCAGGTGCTGAAGAATTATCATTAATGAAACGTGTTAAGATAGTAAATTGTTGATGGACATCAAATGATTGACTAAATAATACAATAAAAAAACGTCATTTTTAATAATCATAATCAGACCAGTTTAACTCTCACTTACTTGACCACTTTTAAACAATTTTTCAGTTTCTTATATGTTGATTCTAAATGATCATTTCCCAATCGAGTCAATAATTTTGTCAGTAATGTATAGAGCCACTCATTTATCTCTCGCTTGTAACTGATAATAAATTCTGGTAATACATCAAGAAAGACTGTGAATACTTGACTATGAGGATCATGAAAACGTTTTGAAAATGTTTCTGTTATCCGTTTGATTTCTGGTCCACTAAAATATTTATTATTATTATGTCTTTAAATTAGAGATTTGTTCTTTTATATTTTTTGTATTACCTAAAAACTCGACCAGAACGAATCATATGATGAAGTGTTGTTAAACCTTCTTTACGTTCTGCCCATTCATTACTTGACATTCGGCGTAAAACATCAGCAACATCCTAAAATAAAGAAAGTAGATAAATACATCATAGCTAGAAAGATGCAATAACAACTCTCAATACATATAACATGCTCGGTTCAACATCAAAGTTCAAGTACAATTAAGAGATGTTTTATGACTTGAAACCGAATGACATTATTTTTGTTTAAAAATATAACAAAATTCATTAGAGATTATACTATCAAAGTGTGTTTCTCTAAATTTTTGCCATAAAATATCTTTTAATCTTTAATAATCATGCATTATAAACACACCACAAATTAAGAAATGAATTACCGTTGATATTTGATTAGTAAATATTAAATAGTTTGTCTGAAGGAGAAGAATGTATCAGAATTCTTTCAAGTTAAAGTTTTACTCTTATCAAATCAACAATTTCTGAGCTTTCATTAATACTGGTATTCGTTACGAACTAATTGAACAAAGAACTATTCTTACCTCTTTATCAATCCATTCTCTTGAACTATGAGTAGATAATCTTCTTTTTGAACTTTTCGACTAAATATGAACACATACACATATAATTAGTATTCATCACTAAAGAACTGACTCTCTCTTCTACTCACTTCTAATGAACGTTCTGAACATATACTTGATGTTTCCGATGCATTATCATCGCTGTTAGCGCTCCATACACCACGACGTTGACTAGACACACCAAAATGATTTGGATCATAGTCACTTTCTTGGCGCATTCCATATGGTCCTAAAAATACAACAACAATAACTGTAGAGAAGAATAACAACGACACAGTTTAACATTTTTTATGTAGTGAAGAAACAAGAACAATAAAAATTCTAATATCAAAACAAAATATCTACACATACATACAAGAATAACATGTAAATAAGCAGACCTACAACACTGAAGTGTTGACGGGTAGAGGAGTTTTTCGTACATCTCTAACAAATTTTGTACTGAGAGTAGGCAGTAAATGAGGGCATTTTTTAAGCAATTTAACAGAAATGTTCTTTTCTTTAAGAATAAATTTGATTAGTTAGAGGTAAAAATAATTTGTACCTTCCTCTTTAAAAGAAACCTCTCTATTATCCATACTAAAACATTTAGAAAATGATTTTACAAACACACAAACGATATGAGATCTAGTGGTTTATTATTTCGCTAAACTTACTTACTTCCTGATCCTATATATTTATTTCCACTAAACCTTCTTTCGATTCGGCTTTTATTATTCACAGCTATAATTAGATATCATAGATCTCTTTTTACTCTTTCTGATTGTCTTTTTTTTTTTGTATGTGTGGAATTGAAATACTAAGGGAAAAAAAAGTAGAAAATTAAATGCATACGTGTTCTTCCTGGACTTGATTCTCTACTGGATATTTTTCCTGGCATTGGTATTCTTGAACGACCATTTGTTGGTGTTCGATTATTATTATGATGTGTTAAATAATGAGATTTTAACGTAGGCGATGTTGAACGACTTCCTGGTTGTGATTGTGAAGTAACTGGTGGTCGAGATCCAGAAGACGCTGTGATAGTCGAAGATGATTTATATGCGGATTTCGATTGCACAGGACGTGGTTTAGCTAAATTTAGAAAATTTTTTAACTTATAGGAAAACAAAAATATATGATAAGGTGCCTATAGTTTACCTAATGATGGAGCAACTGGTGTTATTGAAGCTAAAAATAAAAATCATAAACAAATAACGGAAAAAGAAGATAAGAAAAAGCTTGAGTATTAAAAGAAGCGTCACGTTTTCAAAGCATTAAACTTAATTGCGCTCGATTAGTTAAATTATTTTCCCGATTTAAATATCATTCATACTCGAAAGTGAAGTATTATCAATAGATGAATTATACAATTCAGCTTCATTTGTATCATCATCAAATGCTTAATAAGAAAAAATGAAGATTAGACGATTATTATTGGTAACCAGACGGCAGAACCACTTTACCCGGATTTGACTCTGTTAGATTGAGTCTTATCTCGTTTTGATGTAGAATTTTGAATATTATTTGGATTTTACTTGGCTACATTGGCAGAAAGGCCTTATTTATCTGGAGAAAAGACCAAGAAAAGTTTCGCTGCGGGAATTAAACTCTGCTTTTTTTTTCAGTGATCTTAAACGCATAGACTAATATGAGATATGTGCGGTGAGACAGACGACTGGATCGGGATAAAATGCTAACTTTTGGCATCAAGAACGCCAAGAAACCTCGATATGTAAATTGTCTTTTGTTCAAAATAGCGAATTAGTCCTTTAATTATATAGATATGTCACGTTTTTCAAACGAATATGCTTTGCTTTGATTAGTCTAGCGCAAACTTTTCCCTTGTTTGCCCTTTTTTCTGAAAATGTCACTTTTTTGGAGTCTAAGTAAAAACCGCTTTGATTCATGGAGCTTAAGCTGACGTTTTATTTCGACGAATTGAGCTCAAAAAAATATTTCCTTGTGTGCTTGCTTGGTCTTGCTACAAAAACTTTTACGGAAAATTGCACCTTCTCGAAAAACTTTCTAAATTCGCTGCTGCTTTACCGTGAGTCCCCTTTAGAAACGTTTCGCCGCCTCTGTCGGTAGCAATAAACACCTCAGACGATCACACGATAAATACTATTTTAATCTTACTTGTCATGGAGAGTGCATTATTTTTTGCAAGATTTCTTGACGCTAATTCATTGGCACTTGAAGAACGTCCTAATGCACCAGGTGAATATTGTTTATCTATAAAAATATTGTTTAAAATTAATAAAAAAGAATTTATAATTTACGGTGAATAAACTAACAACAAATACATACCATTTCCTGATGGATGTCTAGATGTAATTCTAAATGAATGATCACAAAATCATAACAAACTTATTATTGATATTTTAAAATATCGCTCTTACTCTTTTGCACTTCTCAATCGTCCATTACTTGCTAATGAATGTGTACTAGATGAATTACTCATTTCACCCTAAAAGAAAAAATATCAGAAAGAAAACATTAAACATTAGAAACTATTACTAACTGTTTAAAAATCAGTGACTGTAGTTATTTTATGAATTACTTTCGAAGAGAGATAAATGATGACCTGTAATTTTTTTTGTTATTCAAAAGACTACTTAAGTAAGACAAATTTAAAGATTTTCTTCGACGATCGAGTTTTTAGAAGATTTTTGCAATACTCGTTAGCGATTCAAAACTGTTTCATAAGTAGATAGTCTCGAGTGTCCTCATTAAAATAGAAGTTAAGCAAGATCTTCATCCTTCATAATTTAGGCGCGGTATCAAATTCCTGGAAAGTTCTAGGACTGGTTAATTATTAATCAAAATACACTTTAAAATCATTTGAATATGGATTTTCGATCGTGCTAAGTCTTATGGCAAAAAAATCACAACTAGTAAAAAATCTATTTCTATCAAAATCCTAGTTCAAGAAATTCTGTTATTTATCAGTATTCAAAAAGTGACTATAGCAACTGGTTTTTTATACATAGTACACTAGTTTACCAAAAGAGTTTTCTTCTTCGATGCGTCTAATGTATCTAATAACTTATGAGCTAATTGTGGAAAATTTTCACGAAACAAACCAAATGCTCTAAATGAAAAAATAAATAAATAATATTAGTCTATTGATTATGAATTTTTTCTACTTACTTTCTTGCACCCTGTCTTGTTTCTGGATCAGCATCTGATAAACTCTTTTTGATTACATCATGAATTAATTGACTATGTTTATCTAATTGGGTACGATCCCAATGATTTAACATGTGTAATAATAATTCACATGTGTGCCTGAAAATAAATTTTAATCATATTATTAAAATAATAATGAAAAAAAAACAACAAAAACAAATAAATAATGTTCACATACCGTCTTATTTCTTTTGATTTTGATTCTGAACTTGCTAATATAAGTGGCACTAATTTGGATGATTGAGTATTATCCACAATAAAACGCATGGCAACAACTGCACTACTTGCTATTATTTTTGCACTATTTTGTATAAGATTCATTAATGCTGGAATAACATCTTCAGCTGTACGTTCAAAACGATTTGTTAATTTAACAGACATAAAACTAAAAATAAAAGAACATATTAGAAAAATCAAGCAACAAAAAAAATGTTTACATTTTGCTTACGCCAATGTAATGCATGCTTCTCTAACAATTTGTGAACGTAAATCTTTAACTGTTACTGCTAATGGTAAATCAAGTTGTCGAATATTTTTAAAAAATTCATCATAATCCAATGCACCACTAATAATAATTGATCGTAATCGTTTTAACTGAAAAAGCAATCCGTATAATTTAATATGTGTATAAGATACACAGACATAACACACATACAGTGTCTATTCTTTTCTCCCAGTCCGTATTCGTATCCGCCAATGTATCACGTATATTTGATAATTGTTGTTCAACATCTTTTCCAGATAATAACTAAAAAAGAAAAATGATTACTGACGTTATTAGTAGATAAATTTTTATTTCAAATGGACATACTTGAACTTCCGATGTCGATTCAAATGCTTCGAGAAATATCGCTTCATCAACTGCACCACTGGAAGCAGCTAAGATAAAGATATAAAATTTTATTTAAGAATAGTCAAAAATAATTATTATTTATACAAACATCACATGAACAACATACACTACAAACTATTATTTGTCAACTTGGATGTTGAGGTGAAAATATAATATGATAATAATTGATACTACATGTTACAACTGAATTATAAGCTTTTGTGGAAAATGTATGATCAGGGATGTTTTATTGCCGCTATGGTAGTTCAGATTACTAAAACGTACAGCCCCTTTAGTGATCAGCATTTTCTCATTCTTTTTCATTACATTATTCTATAGAAAATGTTTTTATTACAATAGTGCACCAGTCTGCGATTGCAACTTTTTAATAAACGAGAAATTAGAAATTTTTTTATAAAGGATTTTACTTTAAAAAAAGAGAAAAATGACGCATTAAATACGGTAAAACTTAAGAGTTTAATATACTTTCTAAAGGTTTATCAAGACATAAATAGCTTTCCTGATCGTTTTCATTAGCTATATTGCCATTTCTGTGATTGATAACAATATTTTTGGATTTGAATAGATGAAAAGCGATGATATAAAAAATAGTTTTATCTTGATGCTTGAAATGTAGAGATACTCAATGCTCACAATTTCATATGAGAACTGAATACATGATTTTTCATTTATTATCAACTGCATGCATTTTCTCATTCTTATCTGGTTACTTCGAGAAGAAAAAACAAAGGACTACATTCAACAACATCAAGTCAACGTTTACAGATAGACTCCTACAAGTCTATTTGTCAGGCGTCTAAAGGGTGAAAGTCTTTTAAAAGAATATCTCCCTTTTACCTTCCTCATTTTCATCTGTTTTTCTAAATTTTTTAACAATATTCAGGAGCAAAAAAAAAGAGATCGATTCAGACGCCCGTTTATACATCAACTATCAATCACTAGTTTCCTCGTCTACAATACAGGAAAAGGGAAAACAAAACTATCATGCTTCTGGGCGTATAACAGATAACAGCAAATTGCAAAATACATTAACAAATACAACAAATAGAGACACAGAATATAGAAGAGGTGAGAATAGAAAGTACCAGTTACACTATGTACAACATTTGGATTTTCACCTGATGTTGTTGTCACACCTGTTACAGAACTAGGTAGTTGTGAACGAGATCGTGGCAACGGATGAGGGATACCAGAAGATGAACGAGATCGACGAGATGCTAAAATAATCGATGTTGTTTAATCAAATCGATTTCTGTTATTGAAAACTTTACAAATCGATTATTGAGTAGATGAGAAAATGACTATAACATTGTATTTTGACTTATTTGTAATTCAAATTTAGAATAGAACAAGAAGTCTGACATTAGTTGAAAACAAAAACCAGTATAAAAAAATACTCCCAGTACACAGATATAATATATAATTCACTAACCAGCAGAACTTGTTCCAGCCGATGATGTTGACCCTAATCGCATAGTTCTTGATCGTGTATCTGTCGATGTTCCATTATTGCCAATTTTCGATTTTACCGTTGTTGTACTACTCGATGTTGGTTTTGGACGTGCTAGAAAATAGATCAAAGAAAAAATAATCAAAATCATAATTAATATTCACAACATACGAATATTTCATCAATTACTCAATTATAATAGCAGTTAATAATACTTACGCGGTTTAGCAGCAGTATTCATCTTAGTTAATAGTAAATATAGTACATGTCAATTTCTTAATTACTATCTTTGTATTGTTTTTTTCGTCTATCTAGTAAAGCATCGTATATACGTTGTGCTGTCTTAGATGTTACAGTCGAAATCTTATTACTATTAAAAGAATAATTTTACTACAATTGTGTAAAAGATGAAAAGAACGCACGCACATGGATATAGAGAGAAGAAAATATTATTAGAAAATCTTTTTTTTTTTTTCTTCTTCGTTTCACATAAAAATGACAAATAGAATGTGTTAAAGATACCATAATAAAACCGCACACGTCTTTGTTAAGTTATAAAAATAGAAAAATTCTTTGACAGAAAAAAAAAGAATTTTTATATTTTATGACATTGAGAGTTTGTGTTCTACACACGTTTTGATTGTTCAATAATGAATCAGGTGTAAATGAATGATGAAGTATTGATCTATTGAATAATCCGATTTATTATACCTTAGATTAAATATTTGTTAGATATTTAGTTTAAATAAATTTCGAAAATATCATCTTCTAAAGTTGAAGGGTGAAAGAGAAAAAAAAAAATTGGACATGAACACTTGAAAATCGTATCGTTAGATGATTTATTATGCAAACACTACAGTAGTAAAAAGCTCTTCTTAAGTGAACAAAAATGTTTTGTTCGTCTATTATAGAGAACATTATTATCGTCTGAAAGGTCCCTTTTGACAAAAGATATAGATATTAGCCTCTTTTTTTCCCATAAAATCAAGTTTAATACTTAGAATTTTAAGAAGAATTCGTATGTACAATTCTAGCTTTGTGCAAGAATTGCTTTTATGTTTTGATAGTTTAAGTTTCAAAATAATATAATAGGAAATTTATATTCTCGATTTTCGTTCTGGTTTGAGATTAAAGCTTAAACCAAGTTTAAGATATTCAGTTTCTTATCGCATTATCTCCTGTGAAAAGGTCTTTTTCAATGTTGTTCATGTCTTTTGCTTAAATGTATAATACATGATGGTGTTGAGCAAAGGTCAACTTCTTTTGTGGTGGTTATCTCATAACGAAAATCATTATCTCGACATACAAATTCAATAGATTTAAAGTATAGGTCTTCCTTTTCTATTTCATGTACGATAGATTGAATTTGAAAACTGGTCTTTATATTGTTTAAGATGTTAAAAAAAATATTTCCTCTCTTTGTTTGATAACTTTTGTGATATATGACAGAAGTTGCACACACAATAGACGAAATCAATGAATCAACGAATGACTCTACGAATATACAGTGAAAAGGATATATACGCAAAAGGATACAGCAAATTAGAGAAGAAAAACTTAAATTAAAAATATAATAACAGCAACAATTATCAATATAATTTGCTGCTTAGTTTTTCATTTTTAAAAATGATCTCGCAACAGTTCCATAGAAAACTTATGAGGAAATATTTCCAGATGACCAAATAATTTTGATATTTAAACACAGTGAGTTATCGACTTGTAACGCGATGACGCATTGTTAACGCCAATGTTTATTCTGTCAAGAATAACAGTAAATGTTACATTATTTAATACATCTCAATGATTTCTATAACTTATATATGAAGTTTTGAGGTAGTACTTATCATTCAAATACTACAACATTTATACGGTCGGTGATCCGATAATTAAAAAGTGAAAGTTCTTTTTAGCGGCCATTGAAGAGTTATAATTTTCTCTAAATGGAGCCAATATTGACGATATATCTCAAGTGTACAGTGCAAAGAACAGTTATTTAAAGAATAAATAACTAAATAGCTCATTCATATTTGTACTTTAGGATGTGTGAAGAAAAATTTGAATGAACGTTACTGGTATTTACAAATGACTAAAAGTAAAAAATTTACATTATCGAAAGATTACTGATATTAAGGCCTGTGATAGATCACTAAACTAGTAGTCATGAGAGAGAATGCTTTCTTTATTATTGAAACTACACTATACTTTGACGAGAATAAGATACAACGTTTTAAAAAAGTAATAGGCTGTCCTTGACTAAATGGCGTGAGCACTTTATCATTCAACATTGTTTAACTTCGAAAATATATAAAATGTCTTGGTAGAGTGAAATTCATCCCAAATTCTCGCATGATCGTTACAGATATCATATTCGTAATCAATGTGTCCGACTTGACATAACTTGTCATTTCTGTCTAAGTCTTACATCTAGGATTTTGAAGCTAATAATAAACAGGGAACTAATTTTATATATATTATTACGAACTTGATTGTAAACTATAATCTCCTAGACGAATAAATCTAATCAATTATTCTCTGTTGTCAACTATAAACAGCAACTAAAGACATTTGTTATCATTCTAGTCAATTGAATTCTTTCCTTCTTTCTGTTTTTATAATATAAAAGAGAACAGTAGAGTAGACAAAAGTAAAAAATGTTATTACATTGACATGTTCAGTCAAATAAACCAAAGTTCATAATGAAGAGAGAGCACGATTTTGTATTCATCTATATAATACTTGTGAGAACCCTAACAACAGTATTAATATATACTAAGCGTATGATTATCAGACAACAATTTTGTTAGTTTTAATTTCTTTAACATCTCATTACTGATATCTTTTTGTTGATCAGCACGGCATATGACCTCTATACAGAATACAAATTACAATTTATTTTCACACAAAAAATCTTGCTGCGCAATGTATACTACAGAATTAAAAAAGCACAGAATCAGAACGGAATCTCAGTTTTGCAAAGTAGTTTCTCTTTTATTCTGTTCTGATGTAGAAAAACTCTGTTTTAGTCGGCCTTTCTCATAAAAAGTAGAAATTAATATATTCAAAAGAAATTTAACAAGATTACAGAACAGAAACCTAGAAACGTTGATCCGTACAGATCTTTGTTCAGAAAGCAGGCACACATATTATAACTTTCTCTGTTAATAAAATAATCACCTTATTTTCTTTTCGTTCTACACAGACATTTTTTACATCCTGACGATGCTCTTTTCGATGCATTTAGACTATTTATAATATCAACAGTGGATTTATCTTCAATTGAAACAATAGATCTTTCAAACAGGGCTGACGCGAGACACTCAGAATTGGGGAGGGAGCAAAATATTTCTAACAATTTTCTCTAAATATTAAACTGCTTTTCCACAAAAAAATTTGGGGGATGCTGACTCAAAACTTTTCGTTGCGCGAGTTATTTTTGCACATTTGTTTTTCATTTGGCCGGTGAAAAATAATTATTTTCAATTATTGGGAGGGGGGAGGGGTTACCCCCACATAATAATAGAAATATGAAGATAACAAAAAAAAATATTTTTCTGCTAGTGCAAATTCTTCTTAATATACGACTATATGTACATCATAATTAAAGATGCCAATAAACACCCTATTGTCATAAGTAGAGGAAAAAAGAGTTTAACTATGTATAGTATACGCATACTCTAACCAAATTATATTTCATTCTAAAGACATGTTTCTATATTCCGTTCAAAACATGGCAGTGTAAATAGAACAAAAGTCTGAATAGATGGATATAGTTTGGTCAGAATCCACCTTTTGGCTGACATTGTCTCTTCTGATGCATCTACCGCCTAGATAGCAATTTCAAATTTACTGCAATGATGAACAGATTCTAACTAATGATAATATATGGTTCTAAGAATTTTCGACAAATCTATAAGAGTAAGCAACAGGTATCCCAGATCCAAAATACGAAAATCAGAAAATAAAAGTTCAAAATCAGAAAAACCTAAGAAAAAGAAGTAGAAAATCAGAAAATCAGTAGACCTTAGGGCAAAAAACGAGCAAAAACGAAACAGAAAAAGTTCCAAAAATCAGAATTTTTCTGTCAAAATCAGTAGATCTGGGATCCCTGATAAGCAATATATACAGATACCTATTCTAGTCTATAGTAAATAAAGACATACAATTTAAAACATTTCTTAGTTATAGAATGTAGCTTTTTTTCTCATTAAAATTACCTGGTAACGATTTTCTTGTTTTCGTATTTCGTCTGAAAACTATCGGTGATAAATCGGGTATTGACGGTTGAAACTGAGTCGTAGCTGGTCCCAGAAATTGCTCTAACAACGATGGATCCATCTAATTATTCAACTTAAGAAGTTGTAAGTCGTCAAAAGTCACGTCGCACTACATACATAGAATCTAAAAATTCGTTTCTTTTTTTTTTTGACTTATATATCGTGCGGATCTAATAAACAAACGCTTCTCCTGTTTTAAATAAACAAAAAAAAACCTAGTAAACTTTTCAAGTGCATTACTCTCAACTACTTTAGTTGAAAGTATATGCAATGCATCATGCGCTTAATAATAGTAGTGGTGGTTATTATGATTATTTTTTGTCATACATATACACACACACACACTTTAGGTATAGAAAAAAAAGAGATTCATAATAAAAGGTATATGAATCTCTTGCTATATCTTGAACAATTTTTTAACAAAACATCATCAATGTTCATCACACCTATGTATAGAATATATCAAGTCATTTTTCTTCAATTTTTTTGGTTGCATGTACTACATTAAGTTAATACAATGCAAATACTCTTAAATTTCTTCTATAGTGGTATTTGTCTCATTATTTTGAATCACAAATTTTCTTCTTTTTTAATACATATATGCGCATTATCATAGTCAAAAGAAGAAAAATTGCAATTCGAACAAATTGAGCATATACAGGTTCTAAAGATGAACAGATAAAAGGAAGAAGAAACTAAATTTACTTATGCTCTTTACTCTACACAACCTTGATCAGGTCATTTCTAAGATTTCATCAATCATGACAGATCCAAAGAGATAAATCATAACTGTCTAGCGATTATGAGAAGGAGAAACACATAAATGAATTGCATTTTTAGAGTAAATAAATTGATTGTATAAACCTTGGCACACTAACAGACTCACTATATGAGTTTGTTACAAATTGTTTAATCTTCGACGTCTATTACATCAATAGAACATCACTTAATGTCACTTACGAATTAC